GCTGCGGTGTTGTAGACACTCAGCGCTCAGTGCACGCTCGGCTGCGGTGTTTAGACACTCAGCGCTCAGTGCATGCTCAGCTGTGGTGTTGTAAACACTCAACGCTCAGTGCATGCTCAGGTGTGATGTGTAGCATCATCTTAATTTATTTTCCATCTCCTGTTGATGGACATTGGATTGTTTTCCAAATTTGGTATGTTACAAATAAAGCATCTGTCAACTTTTTTGTATAGTGATATTGTGGGTATAGGTGCTTATTGCCTTTGGATAAATATCTAGAAGTAGATTTGCTGGTTTACAGGGTAAGGGTATATTTAAATTTATAAGAAAGTACCAGTAGATTTCCAGAGTGGTTGTGTCGCTTTACACACACCCACTAGTAAGTTGTCAGCATCTGGGCTCTGCAACTCCTCTTTAGAGTTGGGTGTGCGGGGTTCCTTGTTGGGTGTGTGGTTGGGGTAGTGTGGGGTCTCAGAGTCCTGGGTTACCTTTACTGACTGAGCGCTTCCTGTAGAGCTCGTTGGCCACTCCTCTGTTCCGTCTGCTGTGTGCCTCTCATAACAAGCTGCTTTGCTTTTCATAATTGAGTAGTAACAGTATTCTGGATACAAGTTCCTTTTTACAGATAGATGTGTTGTAAATATTTCTCCCCGTTTGTAATTTGTTTATTTAATGAATGCTTTTTAACATCTATTGAAATGGATCGCAGGGTTTTTCTCCTTTATTTTGTTAATGTGGCAATTACATTGATTGGTTTTTGAGTGTTGAACTAACTTTGTATTCTTAACATACACTCCACTTAGTTATGGGGTGATGCTTTCTACATAATGCTGGGATTGATTTGCTAAGATATTTGTGAAGGACTCCTAGGTTTTTTTTTCATGAAGGGTGTTGGCCTTTGCTCTTTGTTTTTAGTTTTCAAAATTAAGGAAGCGCCCAGTCTCTTGTTGTGGCGCTAGGGCTGCACTCGCCCTCTGACCCTCAGTCCCCCCCTCTCCTCCTTTTCACTGCTGCTGCCCCTGAAGGAAGTGGGGCAGTGTGGGGCTCACTGTTTCCTGCCTTTTCGAGGTCTTGGTCCCGTCCTACCTATTTTCTCTGAAAAGTCGTGATCTCCTATGTTCTCTCCCAAGTTCATGTTCACCTGTAGTGGGAAGACCCACTGTTGCCCCACACTGGCAGCACCGTGGGGTGCTCAGGCAGTCTGTGGTTCACTGCCCAGTGGCTCGTTCTTTCCTTTCGGTTTCTTTTCTCTCTCATGGAGGAACATTCCTTTTTGAATATGTACTCTACTGCTGTGTGAAAGGAACAAAAATGCTCCTATTAAATTGGGTCATTTGCATGGAATTGCAGAATTTTATCTGCAGCTTATTGTTGATATGACAAAGTACAGTATTAAAACCTGTGGGTAAGATGAGGTTCTTAGGAACTTTCAGAAAGTTTCCATTATCCTGATAATTCTCATAATTTTAAGGTTCAAAAACATGTTTACCTGTGAAACCCTTGCTATTTTCACCTGCACGGTCTTTTCTGTGTCTGGGGAGGAGCATGTGTCGTATGGTGTCATGTCTTCCAGGTGGTGCTGGCGAAGAACCCTGCCATTTTATGTAAGCTGAGCTGCTTTAAGATGTGTTTTGTTGTGAAATTGTAATTATTCTGAGTAATTGTACATATTTTAGTTGTATTCGACTTCACTTTTATTCATAAAGCTATGAAAAATAATAGGTAGAAACAAGTTTTCCTAACTACGTAAGGTAGCGAATTACATTTCTGACTTTAAAGCCACTTTTTTTTTACAGATGCAAATGTATATTTTTATTTATTTATTTTTTCATTTTACAAAAGTTTATTTTTACATCATTTTGTACATTTTTTTTTCCATCTCAATTGTAATCTCTGCGGGTTTCCCATCACCAAATCACCCTTGTGCCATCAC